GATCTTTGAGATGCATTGATAGCTCATTTATTTGGTGCCTTTCCAATTTCTTGATATGGGCACCTATTGCTATAAAATTTCCTCTTAACACTTCTTTTGCTGTAAGCCACAAGTTTTGATATGTTGTGTTGTCATCTTTATTTGTTTCCAGAAAGTTTTTGATTTCTCTTTTGATTCTTTCTATGACCCACTGTTCATTCAGGAGCATGGTGTTCAGTCTCCATGTGTTTACATATTGTCTAGAGTTTCCTGAGTTGCTAATTTCCAGCTTCATTCCATTGTGGTCAGAAGAGATACATTGTATGATTTTGATTTTTTTGAATTTGCTAAGACTTGCTTTATGGCCTAGCATATGGTCAATCCTAGAGAAAGTTCCATGCACTGCTGAGAAGAATAAGTATTCTGCAACTGTAGAATGTAAAGTTCTGTAGATATCTGTTAGGTCCATTTGGTTTAAAGTGTCAATTACATATGCTGTTTCTTTGTTGATTTTCTGTCTGGTAGATCTGTCCATTGCTAAAAGTGTAGTATCGAAGTCCTCCATTACTATCGTGTTGGAATCTAAGTCTCCCTTTAAATCCCTTAACATTTCTTTTAAATAGCCATATGCCCTGTAGTTAGGTGCATATCCATTTACAATAGTTACAACTTCCTATTGAATTGATCCCTCAATTATTATGTAGTATTCTTCTTTGTTTCTTTAACAGTTTTTGTGTTAAAGTCTATTTTTTCTGATATTAAGATGACTACACCAGCTCTATTTTAGTTTCTGTTGGCATGGAATATCTTTTTTCCATCCTTTCACTTTCATTCTCTGTGCATCTTTGTTGGTGAGATGTGTTTCTTGTAGGCAGCATATGGATGAGTTTTGTTTTTTAATCCATCCAGCTGGTCTGTGTCTTTTAACTGGGGAGTTGAGGCCATTTACATTCAAGGTGACTATTGATAAATAATGACTTTGCTCTGCCATTTTTCCTAAAATATTCCTATTTTTTACTTCGGATTTCTCTTGTACTTTTACTGACAGATTTTTTTCCTTTACCTTCTTTCATAGTGAATACCATGTTTCTGTGTGCAAAACATCCTTAAGCACCTTTTGCAGGGCTGGACGGGAGGTGAAAAATTCTTTCAATTTCTGTTTGTTATGGAAGGTCTTTATTTCACTTTATTTCACCTCCATTTACAAATGAGAGCTTTACAGGTTATAATATTCTGGGGTGACAGTATTTTTCTCATAAAACTTGGACTATATCTCTCCATTCTCTCCTAGCTTGTAGGGTTTCTTATGAGAAGTCTGCTGTGAGTCTAATTGGAGATCATCTGAAAGTAATCTGGCATTACTTTCGTGCACATTTTAGAATCTTTTCTTTATGTTTTATTGTGGTGAGTTTGATTACACTGTGTTGTGATGAGGATCTTTTCTGGTAATGTCTATTGGGAGTTCTGTGTGCTTCTTGTACTTGGATGTCTCTTTCTTTCTCCAAACCTGGGAAGTTTTCTGCTATTAATTCACTAAAAAAGCCTTTTTTTTTTTTTGACAGGCAGAGTGGACAGTGAGAGAGAGAGACAGAGAGAAAGGTCTTCCTTTGCCGTTGGTTCACCCTCCAATGGCCGCTGTGGCCGGCGCGCTGCGGCCGGCGCACCGCGCTGATCTGATGGCAGGAGCCAGGAGCCAGGTGCTTTTCCTGGTCTCCCATGGGGTGCAGGGCCCAAGCACCCGGGCCATCCTCCACTGCACTCCCTGGCCACAGCAGAGAGCTGGCCTGGAAGAGGGGCAACCGGGACAGAATCCGGCCCCCCAACTGGGACTAGAACCCAGTGTGCCGGCGCCGCTAGGCGGAGGATTAGCCTAGTGAGCCACAGCGCCGGCCCTAAAAAAGCCTTCTAATCCTTTCTCTCTCTCCATGCCTTGAGGAAGGAACTCCTAGAGCCCATATGTTGTTGTTGTTGTTTTTTTATAGTATCCTGTAGATTCCCAACAGTGTTTTTTAGTTTTCTAATTTCCTCTTCTTGTCTTCGATTTGACTGTATACTTTCCTGTGCTTTGTCTTCTAAGTCAAACATTCTCTCTTCTGCTTCACTGATTGTGTTTTTAAAGCCCTCCACTGCATTTTTATTTGTTCTATTGAATTCTTCATTTCATTTTGATTCTTCTTTAAGACCTGAATTTCAGAGACCAGTTCTGTGACATAGTGGGTAAAGCTGCGCCTGCAATGCCAGCATCCCATACAAGTGCTGCTTTGAGTCTGGCTGCTCCACTTCCAATCTAGCTCTTTGCTATGGTCTGGGAAAGCAGTAGAAGATGGCCCAAGTACTTGGGCCCCTGAATCCCATTGGGAGACCTGGAAAAAGATCCTGGCTCCTGGCCTCTGATCAGCACAGCTCTGGCTATTGCAGCCAACTAGGGAGTGAACCTGCAGATGGAAGACCTTCTCCCCCTCCCCGTGCCTTCCCCCTCCCTTTCTTCTTCCTCTTCCCCTCCTCCCCATCTCCTTCCTCCCCCTCCTCTCCCTCTTCCCCTTCCCTCTCCTCCCCTTCCCTCTCCTCCCCTTCCCCTTCCTCCTCCCCCTCCTCCCCTTTCTCCTTACCCCTCCCCTTCCCTCTCCCCCTCCTGCTGCTTCCTGACAGCTTTCATCGTTGTACTATGACTGTAGATAAATGGAATGTCTGCTTCCAGTGAATCTCTAGAGGTTTGTAGTGAGTGTGGCCAGAGAGCTCTTTTCATTCTCCAGGATTAAGGGCGTGCCTAAGGTGACACATCCAGGTTTGGCGTGCTAAATTTTCTTTCTCTTTTATTTTTTTTAATCAGAAGAGAGGTATATTCTGCTCTGCTGAGCTCTCCTCAATGGAGACCAGAGCCTGAGCGCTAGCCCCAGTGAGTATAATATTCGTCTGCTCTGTCCCAAGGACCACAGAAAGGATCTATGCAGTCCTCAGTGTAAGTTCAGATTCCACAGTGATGTCTCTCACCAGGTAACTAGGAACCCCCAAGCTTGTGGTGTCTCACACTGAGACTGCTCAAAGTCCCAGCCACACCATGTGTTCTCCCACACACCTTTGGGGTTTTTTTTTTTTTCACAGTCCTGGTTCAGAAGCTTCACCTAGTCACAAGCTCCTAGCCCCCTGTTGGTTCTCCCCACCAGAGTCAGGAGTCTCCACTCAGCTGGTTGCCAGGAATAGACACAAACTGGCTCAGCTGTTACGTTTGTTCAAAATGGTGCCCACTCTATCGGCTTGTTACAGGACGCCATTGTAAAGTGATTGGGGAGAGAGAAACATGTCCCTCCTTTTTCTTTATTTTTTCTCCTCTAGTTTGGCTGGTACACTTTCCCCCACAGGTCTCCAAACCTGGTTCCCTCTAATCTCTTCCTGCTGCTTTTTCACCAATGGCCTGGGCTTCTGCGGTCTGGTCTCACCTCACTTTCCAGCGCTGGTGCGTAGGCTCTCGGTTGTTGGAGTCGCGAGCCATGGGTGCCCACGCCCTCCACGTGGGTCCACCATGTCCCTCTAATTTCAGTAGAGCTTCCTCTGCCGTTTTTCACCTAACTCTTCCCTGAGCCTACATTATCTCCACTTTTTTTAGGCTATCTTGTCCTGGGCCAAGTAAGCTCCCTCCCTACACCACCATCTTGGAACTCCCTCCTGCATTTGCTTTTGATTACTTGTAAGTAATCCTATGACCAAGTTTTTGAATTCCATTTCTGGCATTTCTTCAATCTATTCATCTTCACAATTTAGTATTGAAGTGTTGTGTTCTTTTGGGGACATAATGTTATCTTCTTTATTCTTGTTTCTTGAATTGGTGCTTTTTATTATTTAGTATTTTTGGAGATACTTATTGGTTTCTTTGTTTTTTCGCTGTGACGGGTCTTGTCTTTGGATTATGCCTTTGTGGATTAGTGGAGTATCTACTTTTTCAGTGAATACCTAGAGGTGTATAGTGGGTGTGTCCAGTGCTCCCTGGTGAATGGAGTGTCCAAGGTGACACCAAGTTGGGTGTGGTAAATCTCGTTTAAAAAAAAAATCAGAGGGGAGGTTGGTTCTGCTCCATTGCTGTAGACTCAGCTCACCTCCTCTACTCAAAGGAGACCAGTGCCTGGGCACTAGCCCCAGTGGGTATAATATTCGCATGCACTGCCAAAAGGATCTGTGCAGTGCTCGGTATAAGCACAGATTCCACAGCAATCAGGAAATCAGGGAGCCCTGTTTTGTGGAGCCTCCCACAGTGACTGCCCAAAGTCCCAGCCACACTGTGAGCCCTCCCACATAGGCTCAGTGTTTCCACAGTCCCATCACACAAGCCTCCCACAGTCATAACACCCAGCCCCCTGTAGTTCTCCCCGCCAGACTCAGGCATCTCTGATCTGCTGGCTCCTGTTCTCTCTCAGCTTGTTACAGGACACCTTTGCAGGATGATCAGGGAGAGAGAAAACATGCCCCCTTCCTTTGTTTTTTTCTCCTATGTTTTGGTGGGTACACTATCCCCCACAGGACCCCAACCAGATTCCCTTTAGGCTCTTCCTGCAGCTTTTTCGCCAGTGGCTGGAGCTGCTGTGGTCTGGTCTCACCTCACTCTCCAAAGCTGGTATGGAGGCTCTCAGCACCAAAATGCCTACCCCTATAATGTTTTTAATTTTCATAATGATAATATGCTATTAAACTCAGTCTGTTAATTTTTTTTCACTCAGTGCTGTTCTTAAATCTTTCCTTGCTGCTGTGTGTCCATCTAGTTCTTTGATGTTAATCAATGTAGTATTCTGCATTATATGCTTTAGCCAAATTTTACTCAACCATTCTCTTGCTAATGGACACCGAGGTTGCCTTCAAGTCTCATACCACTAACAGTGAACAGCCTGTGTATGCCTTTGCATACACTCAGTGCTAGGTTTTTCTGGAATATTTATCCAGTAGTATGATTAGAGTATATGTATACACAGTATGAATTAAATGTTGCCTGATTGTTCTTGCAGTGGTTGCTCTAAATGTAGATTCACACCAGTGGAACACAAGGTTTCTGTTTCCCCACATCCTTGACAGCACTTGGTATTTTCTGACTTATAAGTTTTTCTATTGTAATAGGCATAGATTGATAGTCCCTTGTCTTTTTTTTTTTAAAGATTTATTTATTTTTATTTGGAAGTCAGAGTTACAGAGAGAGAGGAGAGGCAGAGAGAGAGAGAGGTCTTCCATCCTATGGTTCACTCTCCAGATGATCGCATCAGCTGGAGCCGCGCTGGTCCCAAGCCAGGGGCCGGGGCCAGGGGCTTCTTCCAGGTCTCCCACGTGGGTGCAGGGGCCCAAGGCCTTGGGCCATCTTCCACTGCTTTCCCAGGCCATAGCAGAGAGCTGGATCAGGAGTGGAGCAGCCGGGACTAGAACCGGCGCCCATATGGGATGCCAGCACTTTAAGGCAGGGTGTTAACCGCCACAGTGCCAGCCCCCCATACTCCCTTGTTTTAAGGTGCATTTTTTTTAACTCCTAGTGATTTTCAGCGTTTTCTTATCATTTAGTGCTTTGGTTTTCAGTTTCTATGAACTGCCATTTCATATTTCTGGACAGGTTTAATGGTTTAAATATCTTTTATTCCATTACTACCTGTCAACTTTGTTTATAATGGTACAGATGACAGTTTTTAAAGAAATTCTTAGTTTTTATTCAGCCAAATGTGTTAGTTTTCTAGGACCATCAAACAAAATACCAAAGACTAAGGGGGTTAAAAAAAAAAAGAAATTCATTTTCTCATCATTTTGGAGGTTAGAGGTCCAAGATCAAGGTATCTCCAGCAGGGTTGATTTCTTCTGAGATCTACTTGGATTGCAGATGATCAGCTTCATTCTGTGTCCTCACATGGTCATCCCTGTGTCCTTGTTGTCTGTGTCCTTATTTTCTCTTCTTAGAACAGGCGTGGGGAGCATCTGGTCTGTGGGTTATATAAGGCCTGCAAGACAACCACAGGCAGGACTCAAAATTCAATACATCTATAGCAGGATAATTTCTTTTAAAATGTTTTATTTTCATTTATTTGAAAGGCAGAGTTAGAGCGTGCGCGCATGTGCAAGAATGCTTCCATCCATTGGTTCACTCCCCAAATGGCCACAACGGCCAGGACTGGGCCAGGCCCCAAAGCTTCAGGAGCCAAGAGCTTCTTCTAGGGTCTCCCACACAGGTGCAGGGCCCAAGGACTCGGGCTATCTTCCACTGCTTTCCCAGGTACATTAGCAGGGAGCTGAATTGGAAGTGGAGCAGCCAGGACTTGAACCAGCACCCATATGGTGCTTAAACTGTTATGCCAGAACGCTGGTCCTAAGGCTAATTTTTAAGATGATAATTTTGTATGGCCCACGAATGATGTTATAAATATTCAAATGGTTCTTAATAGGAAAAGGTTTCCCCACCCCTGTGAAGGATGCCAGTCAGGTAGGACCCACTGAATTACCTTTTTCTTTTCGTTTCTTTTTTTAATTTTTTAAAATTTAGTTATTTGAGAGGCAGAGTTACAGAGAGAAGGAGACACAGGAAGGTCTTCCATCTGCTGGTTTACTCCATAAATGGCTGCAAAGGCTGGAGCTGGGCTGATCCAAAGCCTGGAGCCAGGAGCTTCTTCTGGATCTCCCAGTTGAATGCAGGGGCCCCAGCACTTAAGCCATGTTCCACTGCTTACCCAGGCCATTAACAGAGAGCTGGATCAGAAGAGAAGCTGCCGGGACACAAACTGGTGCCCATATGGAATGCCGGCGCTGCAGGCCGAGGCTTAGCTTACTACACCACAGTGCAGGCCCCCTGAATTACCTTTCAAAAGGTCCTACCCTCAAATGTAGTCACACTCTTGGGAACTAGGGGCTAGAACTCCAAAATATAAATGTGAGGGGAACACAGTTCAGCCCACACGATAGGTCTATCCAACTGTACCTTGTGGTCTGTGTCTTTGGGTTTTTATTTAAGACACATTTTCCTTCCTTGTGGTCCCAAAGCCAGTTTCCTATTCTGCTTTGCTTTGCTGTCTGGATGATTCTTTCAAAGACAGTTTGTGTGTAGTTGGTTTTCTGAGTCTCTAAATATTCAGAATTATCTTTATTATTTTAAAAATAATCATATTTGAATACTAGTTTGGATGAATAGAGAATTCTAAGCCTTAAAATGATTTTCCCTTAAAACTTTGGAGATATTCCTCCATTGTACCCACCACGTCCATTGCTGCAGAGATACCTGTCTGATTCTCATTTCTTTATAGGAATCCTATTTTCATTCCCTAGAAACTCTTAGGATTTCCTTTTTATCCTTTGGACATTTTACTAAGATGTATCTAGGTATGTACCAATTTTTTGTTTACCCTCTTAGGCATTTTGTGGATTCTTTCAGTCAAAGATAATATGGTTTCCTGCATCTTAGGTATTTTTTTGTTTTTAATTCCCCCCTTTTTGTTTTCTGTATAGGTTCCCTCTAAACTTCCATCAGACGTGCAGGTTTGGGATCTAACTTCTGTTGCTCTTCTTGTTTGACATTTTATTTCTTTAGCTTTTTGTGCTGCTCTCAGAGTCTCTCAGCTCTGTCTCTGTTTTATGAAGTAGGTCTTCAGCTGAGTATGTTCTTCTGTACAGCCCATTTCTTGTCTATCTGCTTATCATATTTTAAATTTATAAAATTGTTAATGGCTTATTGTCTACAAAAACAGCTTTTGTTTTACAAATAGTCTTTTGATTTCTCGGAGGATTCTAATTATTCTATTTAGAAGTTGTTCTTTCCGTTAAATAAACTGATTTCTTTTTAGGTGATGGTTCTGATTTTGTCTATCTAATGACTTTTTCATACTGCTTCTTTTCCTTAATATTAGAAGATTCTCGATTGTTCTTTTTTTGTGAAGCAGTCTCCAGTCAGAAGCTTAGAACGCAGGTTCTGGTTTGTGGAGTTGCTTCCTGTGATGGTGGGAGGGGCAGGGTTATGAGTGCTGGCAGAGTGCTGGAACCCATCCATCTAGATGTGGGGCTTCAGGATGTCACTGCTTAGCCCTCTGCTGCAGCTATGTCCCACCCTCAATGAACTCCCACTTTGTTCATCGCGCAGATCTTTCCCGAACTCCTTTGCTCACACACAGGTTACTTATGGCATGTATGGTCCCACCCTCTGTTACTCTTCATTTTCACGTGACCTTTCTCACAATGATGCTACTGTCATGGGGAAGGGTCCTATTAATAGGGCAAAGGTAAGTGATGCTCACACCAGGACCAGTCCTGGCAGTGCTCTCTGCTTCATTAGGTTGAACTCAGCTGGTTACAGATGCATCTCATTCTGCTGGTTTCAACATGAGATCATTCTGCACCTCCTGATGGCCACACTGCTAGTTGTTCTTGGTACCGCTCCTGAATTCTCTGACTTAACACATTCTGTTTCTCCTAATACAACAAATGGTATTTCAACTCCTCTCACAGAATGGCTTTTACATACATTAGTGTTCTGCTCAGTGTGAACGCCCCAGTAATTCTGAGGCTAGAAAGACCCTAGCATGCTGCGGTGTCAGAAAGAAGGTGGATGAGGCTGAAATAGGGTGAGCCAGCTACAGGGCGACCTGAGCCAAGATTGGAGAAGCAGGCAAGGGCCTGAGCATGCAGGGCTGGCTGTGGAGTTTGGTTTTTGTCCTAAGTGCACGGGGACTCCACCTGATGAATACCTCAGCTGGCTCCTCTTCCCGGTGAGCACTGGAGCTAAGGACCAAGGAGCGGCCCCTCTAGGAAGTCCCCTGCTGTGCACAGTGGGTGGCAGCCCCACGCCCTGGCCTCCCTTGGGGTCAGTCCATTCCCTTATCAACCTTCCTCCTGTTTCTCTTTTGTTTCAGAAGTTGTGTTCTCATCCTACCCTGGATTTTCCACCTCAGAGGTAGGAGCTGCCTGTTTATATTTGTGTTCTTAAGTTAGGACATTAATTTTCAGAGCCAAAACAAATAAATTAATGGGGCATGAAGAGGCATCTCTGTAGCTCACAGTGAGAAAGCCCATTCACTGAGTACATAGTGGAGTCTTTCAAAAGTTCATGGAAAAGTGGAATTAGTTGAAATCAATGCATTGTTTTTTCTTACTACATATTTTCCATGAATCTTTATTTATTTAATTAATCTATTTTCATTTTACTGGAAAGTCAGAGAGACAAAGATCTTCCATCCATTGTTTCACTCCCTCAGGGTTGGGCCAGCCAATGTCAGGAGTCCTGTACCCAATCCGGGACTCCCACATGAGTGCCAGGGACCCAAGTACTTGAGTCATTATCTGCTGCCTCCTGAGGTGTAGGCAGGAATCTGGATCAGAAACAGAGAAGCTAGGACTTGAACCAGGCACTCCAGCATGGGATATAGGTACCCCAAGTGGCATCATAACTTCTATGTCAAATGCCCTCTTCTCCATGAACTTCTGCATTTACCAAATACCTACCATGTACCAGGCACTGTGCTGGCCCTGGAGATGCAGTAGTGAGCCAGATGGACCCTGGCTCATTGGCCCACAGACCAGCTTCTGTTGCTCTCAGGTGATGTTCAGCGTAGTGTAATCGTGGTGGCGACCTCAAGGGATGAAACTGGCGTTGAAGTAGAGCTGCCACCCTAGTGAAGCCCTGCAGTTCCCTACAAGAGCCCGCCAGTGCTGGAAGGGTCCTTGCCACATGCACACTGCCCAGGGTCTAATCTTTGAGTCACAGTTTAGACACTCTTGTCAACCAGGAAAATTGTTTCTTCTCTCAGGACCGTGCTTGTTAACTAAATGCTGATTTCTTTGTCTACAGTGAGTAGTACAGCTCTATACTGAGCATCCTTGAGAGGAAGCTAGGCACACAGTCTCCCCGCAGAAACAACATGTGGGAAACTGTATCAGTGCGGTTGCTGCATACAAAGCACCCCAAGTAATTACTGCCTTCTCACAGGAACAGTGACTGTATCTCACAATTATCTGAGTTGGCCAGGTGGTTCTGCTGATTCCACCAGAGCTCCCCTGCAGCTGCATTTAGCCACCAGCTTTTTTTTTGGGGGGGGAGGGGAGCTTGGCTCATATGGACAGGTGGCATGCTCTGGCATCCATCCCTATGCAGTCTTTTCAATTCGTTGTCTTTGTAGCTCAGTGGCATCAACGTTTAAAGATGGCAAAGGCAAATTGCAAGATTCTAAAATACAGGCGGTATTATTTTTGCTGCAACATTGGTCAAAGCTAGGCAAAAGGCCAGTGTAACACTGCAGTACGACTTTTTTAAAGATTTATTTATGGGGCCAGCATTGTGGTGTAATTAGTTAAGCTGCCACCTAATTCTATAAGGGCACCGGTTTACATCCAGCTGCTCAATTTCAGATCCAGCTCCCTGCTAATCCACCCAGGAAATGAGCAGAAGATAGCCTAAATGTTTGGGCCCCTGCATCCACGTGGGAGACCTGGAAGAAGTTCCTGGCTTCAGCTTGGCCCAGCCCTGGCCATTACAGCCATTTGGGGAATGAACCACCAGATGGAAGATCTGTCTCTCCCTCTCTAACTCTTTCAAACAAAATAATTTTTTTTTTAAGATTTATTTAGTTATTTGAAAGAGCTGCAGAGAGAGGAAAGAGAGAGAGATCTCCCATTTGCTTGTTACTCCCCATATGGCGACAATAGCCAGTGCTGAGCCAGGCCAAAGCCAGGAGCGAGGAACTTCATCTGGGTCTCACACACGGGTAGCCAGAGCCCAAACACTTGAGCCATCCCTCACAGCTTTTCCCAGCTGCGTTATCAGGGAGCTGGATATAAAGTGGAGCAGCTGAGACTCAAACCAGTGCCCATATGGGATGACAACATTGCAGGCTGCAGCTTTACCCACTACACCACAACACCAGTCCCAAGCTGTACAATTCTGACATTAATTGCTAAGAGTTAGTACAGATCTCTCAAGTTTAGGGGCACAGTTACCAGCAAGACTGCTCTCACTTCTAATGCAGCCACAAGTTTGGGGACCCCTAGGCTATGCACATTTGTGACCAACTGGCTATAAATTCAGGAGTTCCCGTGACCCACTCAAATTCAGTAATTAGAATGACTCACAGGACTCAGGACAGGCTTGTATTTACAGTAATGACTTTACATTGCACAAGTCAGTACCAGCCAAATGAAAAGACACCTAAGGTGAGGTGTGGGAGGGTTCCATCGACAGAGCTTTGTCTGTGGAAAGAGAGCATGTCAGCCTCCCAGCACATCAGTGAGTCCACCTATCAGAAAGTTCACCTGAGCCTCAGAGCCAAAGCTTGGACTAGAGAACCAAAGGCCATGTAGTTGAACTTCAGCTCTAGCCCCACTCCTTCCCAGAGTCAGTCTGACTCAAAGCTCCAACCCTCTAATCACATGGTTGGCCCCCACCCTGAGTCATTTCATTGGCATAATCTCGGGTGCCATCCAAGGATCCTGAGTAACAAAGATAGTCCTAGCACTCGGGAAATGCTAAGGGCCTTAGAAGCTCAGGCAAGGAACCTGGGACAAAGACCAGACAAACTGTTATACAATAGTCACTCTGTTTTCAAGGGGTAAGGATATGAAGGGCCAAAGATAATTAGTGGGATCGCTTGGTGCTCAGTTTCCACCTGTCTGGCATCTGAGGATCTAGAGCGTGAGTTGGGTGACTGAGACTCCCAGTGGTCTCTGCACAATTCAGATACATGAGCACTCTAAGAGCCCTCCCTGCCCCCCGTAGGGTCAGTCATGCCTCATGTCAGGACACACCTGAACCTGCCTCTCTGGCTTTTCCTTTTCCACCCTGCAGTCTGCCTTGCTGCCTTCTGCTCACACAGTCTTGCCCCAAGCATGGAGTTGCAGCATGGAGGGGACTGCCACCACATTGCACTGTGGCCCCTCAGAGCTGGAGTTCAGATCAGCCAGAGAGCAGTCATACAGGTTTCCCACACGGTCCCTGCGTTTTTACTCTGGCCTGTGACTGAACTGTCCCGTTCGTGTGGCTTTTTACTCGTTAGCCAGGCAAGACACAAAATATTTGGCTCAAGGTAGGTGCTCTCCAAATGTTGAGTGAACAAACAAAATTTAAATGACTCGCTCAAGATTGCATGGTGATTAGTGGAGCATGGCACAACATCTAGTTCCCTCTCACCTAGTCACTGGCCCAACATCTGCCCTTCTAATATCCCTCTAATTATGCAGCCAATAAGTGAACTGAGTTAGCGTGAGTAACACAGAGATATTTTTTCTGCTTGATCAAACATGTTGGCCTGAGGCAGCCTGGTTTGTACAGAGACCATGACCCTGCAAACAGCCCAGATACACATGCTACATGCGGGCTTCAAAGCCAACCTGGCTGTTGTTTCCTCACTGAAGGAAGACTTTCCACTGTAGGACTCGGGTTAGGGCCTCAGGCAAGGTTTTGAAGGTCCGAGAAGCTCTTTCTCTCCCTCTGCCTGGTGGAAAACTCCGCTTAACAACCACTGGAGAAGAGTCAACTGTGAAAGGGGCGAGTTGAGAACAAGCTGCTGTAGCCCGAGGGTTGGAGGTGGGACAAAACGCCCCCTGACATCCTGGTCACTGCTCTGTGGCCTTAGAGAATGAGAAACCAGAACTGTGCGTGCTGGAGAATCCGCTCACTGCGTGACCTCAGAGAACTTGGAGCTAGAATTCTGAGTTCCTGGTGACTTCTGCCTTTAGGACCTCAGATGTCTCTTGGGGCCAACCATCTCTAGAAAGGTCACCTTTTCCACCACATTCCTTAGGAAGGGTCATTTGGCTCTTGGCAGCCTCAACTTCTTTATCACCAGGGCACTCTGACTTTGACTTTTTTTTCCCCTTCTAAGACAACCAAGGTCTACTCACTTCCTCCCATATTCGAGATTCTTCCTGTGAAGTCTCTGAAGGCCAGGAACCAGACGCTGGCCCCACCTTTCCCAGAGCTGAGGTACCTTAGCCTGGCCTACAACAAGGTGACTCTCTGCCTCTCTGCTTGTATCAGGGTGACCGATGGGAGGGTGCGGTGTGAGGCCAACCCTCCAATTCCCTGCATTCCAGGTGCTCAGGGTGAGGGAAGCGGAGGGAGTGCAGGCCGAGGGAGGAGTCCATCCACTCAGTCACGGATTCTGACTTCACACTTCCCACGTGCCAGCCTGTGTGCTAGGCATAAGTTACACAGCTGTGAAAGGAGAGCCTCGGCCTCTGCCCTGTGGGAGCTTGTGGCCTATAGGGAAGATGGACACTGGATGGTCACAATAGCAGTGTTAAGAACAATCTCACAGTGTTATGACAAGGGGATCTAACCAAGGAAAGTTCTCAAGGAAGTGTTGTTTAAGCTAAGATCTGAATCAGTGAGTTTAGTCAGGTGAAGAGGGGAGGATAGGATGGGGTGAGGAATGTTCTAGCTTAAGGGCACAGCAGCTGTAAAATCCACAGGACAGATTTAACATGTTTTTCCTGTATTTTGTAATATCCATGTCCCATTTGACTTTCTGGAAAACACCACTAGTGAAGCCCTGCTTAAATCAGAAATGTAGGCAACTTTTCAGACGCTCTGTTTACTCCCCCTGACAGTACCAAGAAGTTGGTACTGCAAGCTCCCCAGTGGTTTTCTTGTAAGAGCTCTGTTGTTTCAGCTGTTACATTTCTGTCTCTCTTCTGTTTTGAGTTAACCCTTTTATATGGTGTGAGATAGGGATCCAGCTTCATTCTTCTGCATGTGGAAATCCCGTTTTCTTAATACCGTTTATTGAAAGACTACTTTCCCATTGGATGGTTTTCACACCCTTGTTGAAAATCAGTGAGCCACAGATTATAATAGTTCCCTCTTCTTGAAATTGGTCATTTGTGTCTTCCATTTTACTAATCCAAAGTAATTAGAAGTTACCCTTTTACTGATTTTTTTTAATTAAACTAGCTAATGGTTTCACTGGATTTGTCTGTTTTCCATCTAATTGATTTTTTTTTTTTATGGTGAAAAAACATATATTTAGAATTAGCCAGCTGGACTCCGTTCAGATGATCCCAATTTTGTTGGCAACGTCCAGAGCATCATAGTCCGGAGCCAGCCGCACATACGCCTTCTTCTCTCCGTCAGGTCTGATCAGGGTGTTGACTTTGGCCACATCAATGTCATAGAGTTTCTTCACAGCTTGTTTGATCTGGTGCTTGTTGGCCTTGACATCCACAATGAACACCAGTGTGTTGTTGTCTTCTATCTTCTTCATGGCCGACTCCGTGGTCAGGGGGAACTTGATGATGGCATAGTGGTCAAGCTTGTTTCTCCTGGGGGCGCTCTTCCGAGGGTATTTGGGCTGCCGTCGGAGGTGTAGCGTCTTGGGCCGCCGGAAGGTGGGGGACGTGCGGATCTTCTTCTTCTTGTGGCTGTGGACGCCTTTCAGCACTGCCTTCTTGGCCTTCAAGGCCTTCGCTTTGGCTTCGACTTTAGGAGGGGCAGGAGCTTCCTTCTTCGCCTTCGGCGCCATCTTGGTGAAAAGGGCTGTTTTCCATCTAATTGATTTCTGTTCTTAACTATTTCTGTCCTACTTATGATGAGCTTACCTTGCTGCTCTTTTTCTAGCTTCTTTATCCAGACTTTTCTTTCTACAGCAAGCATACAAAGCTGTAAATTTATTTAAGCACTGCTTTAGCTACATCCTACAAATTGTGATACATTGTGTTTTTATTTTCATTCAATTAGAATCTTTAAAATATTTTTCTTGTGATTTCATCTTTGATCCAAAGGTTGTTTAAAAATCAGTTGTTTAGTTTCCAATTATATGGGGGCTCTTCTAGGTGTATTTGTTAATTTCAGTTAAAGTATATTGTGGTCAAAATAGTTTTCATCTCTGACATCTATGAAAATGTGTTTTATGGTCCACCTTATGAACTGTCTTGGTCAACGCTCCTTGTGGACTTAAGAGTAAATGTGAATTCTGAAATTTGGGAGGCTATTGTTCCATAAATATTAATTAAGGTGGTTGGTGATGTCACGTCAATCTTTTTTTTTTTCCTTCTTGTTTCATTTGAAAGGCAGAGAGACTGAGACAGACAGACAGATATCTTCCATATGTTGGTTTACTTACCAGTTGCTAGCAACATCCAGGGCTGGGCCAGGCTGAAGCCAGGAGCCCAGAACTCTGTCCAGGTCTCCCGTGTGGTGGCAGGGACCCAGGTACTTGATGCGTCATCGCTGCCTCACAGGATGTGCGTTAACTGCATCAGAAGTAGAGGGGCCAGGACTCGAACTGGGCACTCCAGTGTGGGACATGGGTGTCCTACTGCACCAAATACCTGCCCTCAATCTTGGTTTGTTTGTTTATCAGTTACTAAAAGCACTCTGTTAAAGTCTCCAGTCATGGTTGTAGATTTGTTTATTTCTCCCTTTCATTCTGTCAGTTTTTACTCCATGTATCTTGAAGTCTACTATCAGTTGCATATGTGTTCAGAATGTTATGTGTACCTAATAGATGGACCCTTTTATGAATTGCCTCCACTTGCCTCCTTGTCTTGATGGTACTACGTCTGATTTCTTTTTATTTTTTATTTAGTAAATATAAATTTCCAAAGTACAGTTAATGGATTACAATGGCTCCCCCCCCATAATTTCCCTCCCACTCATACCCCTCCCATTTCCCGCTCCCTCTCCCATTCCATTCACATCAAGATTCATTTTCAATTATCTTTATATACAAAAGATTGATTTAGTATATATTAAGTAAAGATTTCATCAGTTTGCACCCACACAGAAACACAAAGTGTAAAATACTGTTTCAGTACTAGTGATAGCATTGCTTCACATTGGACAACACACTAAGGACAGATCTCACATGAGAAGTAAGTGCACAGTGACTCCTGTTGTTGACTTAACAATTTGACACTCTTGTTTGGGCGTCAGTAATCTCCCTAGGCTCTAGTCATGAGTTGCCAAGGCTATGGAAGCCTTTTGAGTTCACCGACTTCGATCTTATTCCGACAGGGTCATAGTCAAAGTGGAAGTTCTCTCCTCCCTTCAGAGAAAGGTACCTCCTTCTTTGATGGCCCCGTTTCAAGTCGAGCTGGGACTTGAACCCAGGCACAGCAACATGCAGTGGCATCCTAACCAACCACTTAAGTGCTGATCCCTCCATACGTCTGATTTTAATATAGCTACACAGCCTTCCTAGGCTTACTGTGGGCATGGCATATCTCTTTCCTTTTACTTTCAACCTACTTCTCTCTTTGTATTTAAAGTGCACCTCCTGTGGTAGGCATTTGGCTCAGCACTTAAGTGGTTGGTTAGGGTGCTATTGCATGTTGCTGTGCCTGGGTTCAAGTCCCAGCTCGACTTGAAATTCCTGCTTTCTGTTAATGCAGACCTTGGGAGGCAGCAGGTGATGGCTGAAGTGTTTGGGCCTCTGCTACTCACATGGGGGACCCGGATTGAGTTTCTGACCTGGCTCCAGCCTGGCCCATTCCTGGATGTTGGAAGCATTTGGAGTGACCCAGCAGATGGGAACTCTCTGTTTCTCTCAAAATAAGTATGAAAAATAAATAAGGTGCATCTCTTTTCTATGGCATATGGCTAGTCTTTGCTAGGGCTGTCTGAGTGTTATTCTCAGTGTTTCTGCTTTCTCTTCAGCTTTCAGCCTTCCCTGTGCATCTGCATCTCCGAGGGGCTTGCCACCACACTCTTGTTCCTCTCCTAGTGGTCGACTGCTTTTGCTCGGTGCTTGGTGCTTGCCAGTCAGGGTAAATAGGGGCCAACCCCCAGTCTTAAGCAGCCCTGCGTTCCTATGTCTCCAGGATAGGCGTTTCTCAGTGGTCCTCCCACTCTTCTGGCAGTAGGAGGCGACCTCTATTGTGCTGGGCCGGACTGGTTTTCTCTCCCTAACCCAGAGGCAGGGTTTTTACCCCTCTCCTCAGGTGTAGTGCCCTGGGCAAATAGGCTTTGCCAATCTTCAGCAGCCGAAGGCTTTTGTTCATCGAGAAGGAAGGTCTGGAAAAACCCTTAACATTGACTGTCTAGCCTGTGACAGCAAAAGTTTTCTGACCCCTTGTCTAGAGGATCAAGTGTTGGAGTCCCTGAAGGCCCACTTCTAGTGCCTGTTCTCCCCTCACTCTGCACTCTCTCACTAGGGATGCCCTCAGATACCCATGGGGCCATGGGCAGTGACCCACAAGTATCTAGCATCAGTGTGAACCTGTCCTCTGTATTCCAGACCAGTGTATCCAATTGCTTATCCAATGCTGCTTGGAGGTCTCCAAGGTACCTACCAAGTACATCTGGCCAAAGTGAAGGGATGACCTGTCTCTTCAAATTTTACATTCTTCCTTTGTTCCTGACTTAATGAGTAGCTCCATCATCCACTCTGTTACTCAGTCTGAACCTGGGTGTCATCCCAGACATTCCTCTCTCCTTCCCATCCCCTCCCCCACCCTGCCCATGTCTGATGCATCATCAAGTCTTGGCAAATTTAGGTCCTCCTGTCTCTGAAATCTTTGTAATGAATCCCCCAAGGAGCAGGATCTTTAACTGACTTTGGTCTGGCTTCTACCTGCAGCTCCAGCCGCATTTTAACTCAAGCACACACTTTTTTTCTGCCTTTAGCCACACTTTCCTTCTCTCAGCTCCTCTAATGGGTGATGAGGCCTTTCCCACCTGATGCTCTTTGCATGCAGCACTTGCTCTTGGCCTCACTGAGGGTGTTACCGCGTGCACCACGAGCACAGACATCACATCACTTACCGCAGTCGAAGGTTGGTTACTTCTGGCCTTTGCAAAGTCCATTGTGGATATTCCTGTCTGGCAGGCGGCCTTCCACATAATCATTCAGGTGACCCAGGACCCCTCTGGCTTTGGCTCTGTCATCCCATAGGGTCTTTTTTTTTTTTTAAGATTGTATTTATTTTATTTGAAAGGCAAAGTTACAGGGGAGCTAGGGGGAGAGATGTTATCTTCTATCTGCTCGTTCACTACACAGATGGTCACTATGACTGGGGCTGGGCCAGGCTGAGGCCAGGAGCCAAGAGCTTCATCCAGGTCTTCCACAAAGGTAGCAGGGGCCCAGTACTTGAGCCATCCTCTGCTGCTCTCCCAGGCCACCAGAAGGGAGCTGGATTAGATGCAATATGGGATGCCTGCTATACCACAACACCGGCCCCCCTCCATGGGGTCTTAAGAGTACTTTACTGGATCCTAGGTACCTGGCAGGTAGATGATTGAGCACAGGAGTGTGGTGAGAGAAGTGTAGGATGTGCAGGAGGTTTTGCATGGACCATACCTGGAAGGAGCCTTTAACTACTTCCGGTCCCTATCACCTGGGCCGGAACGCCCCAACGACCACACCTAGAGTCTGGGAGGTGAAGAGACGTGGTCCAGCCATGTGCACAAGGTGCAGGAAATGGCTCAGGCTGACTCGGAAGTGTCTTCCACTGGCTCCCTTCCCCCACGGTCATTCACAGATGACCTCCTTGCCCTCCTTCAGATCTCAGGGATGCGTTCCCTCCTCTCTCTGACTAGGGCAGATGGCCCTAGGGCCTCAGCACCTCTCTTTCCTTATCACAGTGGTCAATCTACTCTCCTTTCTGTTTCTCTCTCTCCAGTGCTCGTTTTCTACCAGAAAGTGCTCCCTGAGAGCAGGAATCCTATGTTTTACTTATTCCCAACACAGTGCTTGGCTTGTGATTGGAAGAGAAGGAATAAGTTAGATTGCATGGTGGAAATGCAGTACTACCCAATGATCCCAAGGAAGCCAGACTGAAGTGCCCTCCCCAGCCCAGCCCCTGGGCCTTAGCACCTCCTGTGGGCCCTGCGCCCTGCCCAGGACTTCAGTGTGTTTAGGGTCTGATAGGCCGCTGCACCCTGGCTGACTGATCTCTCCTCAGAGTCGCCCCCAGGCGATCCAGCCACTCTGCTCAACAAGGATTGTGTGTTTTTATTGTCCTTCAAAGGCTGGCTTGGCCAGCAGGCCACCATTTACAGGCTGGTTTCCTGGGTGTGGAGCAGCCATGAGGTCTCTGGTTCTTGTGTCTCTGCTTATCCCTTAGATAAGTGGCTCCCCTGACCTCCCGTCCCCTTTCCCTCACTGGGTCAGTGCCTAGGACTGGCCTCATGAAGAAGCCATCAGGAGTGCAGGTGACAGACTGATGGGTATGTGTAGGTTTGCACTGAGGAAGGTGAAGGGTCAAACACGCTGCGTTGACTTTCCAGACTCTTGGTGAGACAAGTGCTTCTTTGCCACCAACATCCCCAGTACTTGACATAGGCTGTGTGTCCAGTGTGAAGGGAGAGAAAGTCCCAACTCTCAAACATGAAACAGTGATGGTGGCAGTTTGGTCAGGAGACAAGCAGGTGCTATTGCGGGGATAAGGCCAAGCCCAGTGGGGAGTCCCATCCGCAGCAGCATCTCTTGCCCAAGCCCTCCCCCAGTGCTGGCAAGCAGAGAGCCCTGCACTGTGGGGCCTGGCTGCACCTGGGCAGAGTGTGGGTGCTGTTGACCTGATGATGTCTTCCGTATTTGTTACAGATTGCAAAGGA